AAATAAAAAAACGCTTTTCGCGGAATAAGCTTCGAAAGGCAAATAAGTTAGCAGAATATATATTCTGCTATTACATAGTATTTAATTTAATGTAACGTTTTATCATTAGAGATTAGAGAATTATGGAGAAATATGAAAATTATAAATTTTCCCGATATTTTGTCTAAAAAATATATCCCCAAATTGGCCGAAGAAACTGTGATTAAAAGGACAAACCCGATGTTTCGGCGACACCCTGTATTGTAGGACTCCTTTCGAGAGAAACAGAATCGTAAAGCGATATATTCGGCTCTTATCTGCTATTTCTATCGATTGATATTTTGCCACGCGTGATTAGGTATTTTGGAAGAAGAAAACGACTGAACGCAGCCATTCGCGAAAATGTGCCGATTTTAATTCGAAAAATCACGTTCGCAAAATCAAAGCGGAAACACGATTTTGTTACTTTTTTTGCAGACTATCAAAGGAATCTCGTACATTTATTTATTGTGAATCGTTTACTGCGAAAATGTGCCGTAATAAAAGAAATAATTACAAAATGATTAAAATAAAATTATCATCACCTTTTTGTCATCGCGAAAGAGCGTCACGTTTATGCTTTATTCTTTTTCATTCATCGCAAAAACCTAAATCAGTTACATATATCCTACGAATGATATAATGGAATAAATCACAGATAAATCACAGTGATACTCTCCATGCTGCGGCACATCGATAGTAAATGATAGCGAGATTACTTTAGTCGGGCAAAAACGAGCGAGAGAGTGGATACGAGAGAGAGAAAGAGTGGGAGAGAGTGAGAAAATGCGTTAGATAGAGAGCGAAGTGTCTTAGAGCTAATGGAATTCCTCTGCGCGAATGCACGGAACGCGCTAAATACAAGCAGCCACCTCCGAATGAGAAGTCTTCAATACCATTTGCATATTGCTTTATTGTTACACGAACATTATAACGATATATTACATTAAAAAAAAAAAAAAGGAAGGAATATTACAGGTACAGCGGTACGCATACGATTAAAGCGTGAGTTCCACGACGCGACGACGACGATTGCGCGGACAGGTTTCTGATTAAATTTTCTCACCAAGATTTCGTCATTTCGCACTTGGGATTTTTTTACGGACGCAATTCCAGCATCTCGATCCTCTCTCCATTTTTCACGTTGATACGATTGCGCATATAAATTTCGACACGAATACGGAGAAAGAGAGAGAAAGAGAGAAACGCGATAAAATTGCCATTTATCACTCAGTTAAGTGATTAGATTAACAAATTTCCCAGACCAATGAGATGTATTTTAATTATTTTCTTTAGCAAAGATAAAAATATCGTTTTTCGCTTATCATTCTAGAGCAAACTCAAGAATTATCAGCGATTGTATATGAAATCTAATTTGCGCTAATTACGTCCGATTCAAAAGACTCCGCGCGATCAGAACGTCCTGGAACACACATACATACTTTAGATACTATACGCGTTACGTTTTTGTATTTACGAAGAAAAATCTACGAGGTGGGAGACGGACTTACTTTTCCCTCTTTTCTACTACTTTGTATATTACCAAATAATCGTTAATTAGAGAAGTTATTATAACTAGCGTTTCGTTATTTTAATCAACAAGATTTTATTAAGCGGAATATATAACGACGGTGAATGATCGCTTTTAACCGTCGTTATCGTAACGATGCGGCCTGATTTACGCGTTTCTGTTGTTGCTTTATGTAATACACTCTATTTAATTCGCGTACAACTTGTCAACGAGTGGGAGATCGATGTTTATGATCAATTCTTCCTCTGCCTTATTTTTCTTCGCCTGTAAGAGAATCTTAGCATTCAGTTGTGTAAATAATATTTTTCATAGCTTGGAAAGTCTGCCAGCATTTATTCGACTGATTAGAGACACGCGAAAACTACACATGGTACAAGACAAATTTAATAAATGTGATCTCTCGCGGACAATTCTCCTTTTTAAGATCTGTGAATCAAGTGGCATCGTTCCTGAATATCTCTCTCATTATACGATAAAGTATAATAAACCTCGCAAATCTGTCGACGTTGGAAAGCAATCGATTGGTTCCTTAGAAGCCAGAGAGCCAAGAGATTGCGCCAAGAGAAGTACAAATCATAAAAAAAAGAGAGAATGGAAAAGAGAAAAAGATGGTAACTGCGAAAAAAAATCAATCATTCGAAGATGAGATAATGTGACCAATATCGAAAGAGGTGTAACATTTGACTTTACTTTCATCGCTTTTCATTCATTACCTTTGATTATATTATTGCTTGTAACATTCATTCGAGATACCTTGAATACAAAAAAAAGTAATAAACCATGTTATCCGCTTGTTTCGTCCCTTGTATAAAACCCTACCTGTGATACATTAATAAAGCAAGCTAGATTTCGATACGAGCGATTTTTATGCAACAGTACATTTGACGATTTATTTTATTTATGTTTTTTTTAATAATTTATTCAAAAAAAAATTATTAAATGCTTTATTACAAAAATTATTACATGCTTTTCCTTTTGAATTTCCTCGCACAAGCAACATTTCTGTTCAAAGTTCAAAGTATACAAATTGATAACAAAAGAATTTATATGTTTAAAAATATTGATCAATATTAATATATTGATAAATTAATATATAATATAAATTATTATAAATCGTAAATTAATAAAAAATTCTGGGAGAATTCTACAAAGAAGAGATATGTGCAGAGGAGCATTAATTTTTTTGTAGAGGAAAAATTATGAGCACAACGCAATGAATTATTTCATTTGTGATTTTTATTGAAACACTCTTTAGGGTACACAAGCTCTATCCTAGATAAGCATTAAAGTAAGTATAAAAAAAATGAACAACTGCTTATAGAATCACAAAGTGTGGATGTCTGCCCTTCTTACAATCATTAAACGTACTTTAACATGCATACACGAAGGCACAACGATCCTCGACCCTTACGCGCTGAGTATTTCGCCGCGAGAACGATGTTGAAGTGATATCGCTGAGCCGATCGTGTAGTAGCACAGATCTGTTCGCTTTAGTTGCACACTCAAGGGCAGCTAAAACGGCCAGATCTTGCGTTATTCAAAGGCGACCGCTCGCATGGAGATCCATTGACATCCAATGCCCCAAAGGAACTAGAAAAATAATTCTAGCAGCGCGCAAACGATGCATGACATCGCTATTACAAGCTTCCTCGTTACAGGTTCTTTCGGCGCTCGTCGTCATGGCAAAATTATACACTCTCCGAGAACATCAACATACGAAATAAGCGTATTCGCTCGGTACACGCTTATAACACACAGAGTTCTGTCGTAAAGGGGACCGAGTGCCTTCTATACAAATTCATTACGCAATATAATATTCATGATAATAAAATCTATACTTCGTATTATAAATCTAAAAACTTATTGTACACTCGTAATACAGTTAGTTCATTGTAACGAATGTATCCTGATTATTCTCATTCAGCTCGTTAATTCTCTCTTTGAAGAAGGCCACTTGTTTCCGAGTTTTCTCTCTTACGACAGTTTTATTATCCTTGTAACTGGATTCTATATTCTGATAAATGAAAAATATTCGTCGGTATTCTTGAATAAACAATTTAATTATCATAGACGAGCATAATTAAAATATCTCAAATAATTGTCGCAATTACTGTCAGCATCTTCCGCTATTGAACGGAGAATGACATTGTAAGGTCAACCAGTACAACGGCTATACTTATGCTCATTTATAACAAGGCGCACCTATTCTATTGTTTACTTAACGTGTATTAAATAATCACAAAAATGAGACCAAGGTCCAAACGCGTCCTTTGGTCGGGACCATCAACCAAGAGGCGGCCTCGCACCTGACTTTCGATCAGAGTTTATCGTCCATGCAATCACAGACGATATTCGTTGATGGCTCCTCTAATATTGAAATGGAAATAATTTCAATGTATCTAATATTATTTATCTAATATTATTTTACTTGCGAAAATTGATTTGCAAAATGAAAGTCTTCATTAAAAATATTCGTACAAAATGTACGAAACAAAAAAAAAAACAATTAAACGACAGAATTTTACAGATTTTCCAATGTAAGTTAAATGTCGCTCAATTTGTCTAATCTCATTTAATTGATACTTTTCTTCTGTTATTGCAGATTGCCATCAGATTTTATTGTCAAGGCGACATACAATATGCGTAAAATTTAATTGTCTGATCGTAATGTTGAAGTGCCGATGTATAGATTACGAGCATTCAGTTTATTCTCTTGAATTCAAGTTAGACATACGATCACAAGTGCAGGTAGGTGGTATTATAATATTTTCATAACTTCTACCAATTTCTCGACGATCGGCGCTAAATGACGTAAATTCGCCATTCAGTTCGACGCGAAAGTGAAACGGTAGCGATAACTGTGATAAAGACACTTTGATAATGAAAATATAAAGTAACTTACGTTTAAAACATCTTAACAGTAAAGTAGAGTATAAAGTATGACTTAAGTACAACCATAAAAACTTGGTCATTATTATGGCATTCGTATCCTTAACTACGCGGCTCGCCAGACCGCATCCCCTCGAACGGCGCGTGTCTCTTTATAAAAAGAATCTACTACTCGTGTACGAGGCGATTTCGTGATTTACGCATACGCAAATCGTATTAGACAATGCACGATTATATACGGCATGTAGATTCGATTCTCTTCGCGACTTTCCGGTTTCCATCTTCAATTGAATGGCAAAGTATCGAAAGTGTAATTCCGCGACAAATTAAGGCTTCTTTATTTTTCATATCTACATATGCATTGAAAATTGAAAAGTATTAACTGCGTTGTTATGAAAAAAGTATTGCACGTTAAAATATTACTATAATATATTACGTTGCAATATCTGTAATTAATTCAATCATCAAATATTTGATTTATATTTTGCTTTAAAATTTATTTCATTTAGGATATAATTTTTTTCTTATACATTTGATTATTGAGAAAGAAAATTTCGCTTCGCCAGAAAAATGGTACGTAAATAACTACTGTCAACATTATTCCGTCTCCAACTAAAAAAATTAAACAAATCCTCCCCTTTTTACACATAATGAGACAAAGACAGAGCAAACGGTATGCAAAGCAATATTTGACGATATATTTTTGTCGTAGGAAAAAATTTCAATCGCAATCAATTCTCAATTTTCTAAGTAGGGAAAATATTTGCGCAGCCATTTTATATACTCTTGAAGGATTTATGAACAAATCTGTTTTATATGGAATAGATTAAGTGTATTACACCTACATACCGGAAGATCATTGTTACTTGGGATCTTACAAAGTATCGGCTTCCACTACATCGCTTCGTCGCGTTTCGATACTGATCTTGATACTCTTTATAACACGGCGTCGCCTTTCTCTACAAGAGCATTCTGATAATTCGCTTCTCTTTTCGTGACCTGAACATATCCTCTTCCGCTGCGTCGCTATTTTTGATTATTCCACTTATCGTTAATCGACGATCACAGGAAGTACGCGGCGTTGATCAGGCTTTTGGGTCTTTTATGTGTGTCGTGTATGTGTGTACGTATGTGTACAGAGTGTATACATGCATTTGTGTGTCGGACGAGTTTGAATGGCTTTTGCAGCTGCGATATATTAATGCTGAAAGAATGACGGAATCGCTGGCAGAAATACATCCCGTCCTTCTATTCTTCTCCCTTGAGCTCCTGTTGCGAATTTTGATTAGTTGAACGACGCCGGTGATATACGGCTCTTCATCTGAACCGCTCTTTGCCTTCTTCAGCCCTTCGTCGGTCGAATCTGTAAGCAGAATTAAAATCACATTTCATATAAAATATAAATTAATATAAATATTAGAGAGAATTAATGCAAAATATAGAGTAACAAAGAGATAAGTCCATAGTCCTGAATATCAGAAGTTGTACAATTTATTTCTTCTTTAAATGCATCATGCGTAATAATTTCATCAGTATTTTTCAAAGATACTTATGAAATGTAGATAATAAAATAACAGCTCTGTTTTTTTTTCGTATTAATAATTTCATATTCATAATTTTACGTGAAACGCCTTTTAGATATATTAGTTAAATATTTAAAATATTTATATGCAAGACATAGTTTGATAAAATTGGTAATTATTAAAAATTCCATGTACACTTTACAAACTGCACCCTTTTCAATGAACAATTACCGCATCCTAGTAGTAATAAAACACAATATATACGCGGAACTCAATTGAATAAATATAATTATACTTCGATATTTACAACGTCGTTAATTAAAAGTGTCGCGCGTCGACGATAATTTAAAATTATATTTATTTAAATTTCGTTCAGAGTATATCAGGTAAAATATTTAGATAGAAATGAGAATTTTCACACCTTAAAAATTATGTTTTTTAATTAAAAATTGATTGACTCAAAAAAGAAGAAACAATTGTTTAAATGGAAGTTATATAATATAAAAAAGTGCTAAGACACATTTTTACTAATCTATCGCAATAATTGTTTCTAACCATAAAGAGTTTTAAGTGACTTACTCAAAATATGGCTAAATTAATCAAATATTAAGATACGAAATTTCATTTCGAATATCTTTCTTGATATTTGGCAGAAAATTTTTATGGGATTCAAGTTACAATTATAATAATCTCATAAAAATCTCAAATTTCAAGTAAAGGTCAAACATCTATTAATACACTTTTATGCAAAAAGTTGTACGTTATATTCCAAAGCAATACATCAATTTTTTATAATCAAAGCAATCATAACTTAATTCTATAAAACTAATCGTGTTTACAGACATACACGTAGAATGAAAACTTATAAACTTAGCTCCTTTTATAATCTTATTATAAAACCTTTTATATATATATATATATATATA